AAAAAAAAAAAAAAAAAAAAAAAAAAAAAAGGCAAGAGAAATGAAACAGCAGTGATTTGGAAAGGGAACCCTCAGCATAGAAAACAGCAGCAACAGAGACAGTAGTCTGGAAAACTCCTTAGGAACTACAGTTTAGTTGGACACACACCAGGTAGTGGGAAACAGGGCTAGAGGTAGGTTGGAGAAAGTGTTCAGGACACCTAGAATGGTGATCTGAGAGTCTGAATTTTTACATAGTAGGGAGCAGGGAGCCATGGTGGGTTCTCGAGCTTTAGGAAGAATAAGTTATAAATCTGTGAAGGATAGACTGAACAGACAGCAAGCAGGGAGTCTACTTGGGTACTGTTAGAACATTCCTGGCAAGAAAGTTAAAAAAAAATGGCAGTGACTGGAGGCAGTGGTGATGGGAAAGGATTGGCAAGCAGTGAAAGAAGGCTTGCAGAAGCGCTGCAAATGGGGCCTGACTGGACGGGGAGGTAAGTGAGTAAAATGTATCGAACACTGACCAAAAGTTTACACCTAGGAGGGTAGAGAATAGTAGTAAGAAAGCAAGACATTGAAAGCCATACCTTGTGGAGAAGAGTAAATGACTTCAGCCTTCAAAATGTTGAGTCTGAAATACCAGCATCATCTTGAGGTAGAACAGGTGGGCAAAGGGGGGAGGTGTAAGGCCATCACTTAGGATGTTGGGCTGGAGAGTTCCAGCTAAGGGTCCCTAGGTGTGAGAGTGGCTGGGATTGCCAGAGAAGTAAGTGCAGATGGAGAGAAGGTGGGGAGGACAGAGCCTCCTGTGTGTATGAAAGGAAGAGAGAGAGAGAAAGAGAGAGGAAGCAGTTAGAAATGAATGAAAGCAGAACAGCAATGTCAAGAGCTCTTATGATGGAAATGAATGATGTGGGCCTGTTGGTTCCACCTTCAGAATATATCCTGCATCCAACTTCTCAACATTTTTATCCCCACCACCCTGGCTCAAGCCACCACCAGCTCTCCCCTGAATTACTGCTATATTCTCCTGTTCCCTGCTTCTGTCCTTGTCCCTGTGATAGACTGTTTAATGGCCACAAATTCCTCCCATTGCAATATGCATGCACCTCTGCAATGCAACTTTGCTATTCCTCCTAGCCAGAGGTGGAGCATATTCCTCCATCCTTTTGAATGTGGGCGGGTCATGTGATTCACTTTGACCAATAGCATGTGGCAGAAGTTAACCACGTGTGAGTTCCCAAACCTAAGCCTCTAGAGGCTTTGCTGCTCCCTTGTTCACTCTCTTAGAGTTCTGCATACCAGGTAAGAAAGCTGGTCTACCAGGATTAGAACCACATAGTGGAGAGCTGAGGCACACCATCAGTAGCCAACACCAGTGGCCAAATGTGTACAGGGTCATTTGGATCTTCCAGCCACACCTGACCCTACAGCTGACTTCAGTTTTAGAAGTGAGCCCAGGTGAAGCCAGCAGAAGAAGTGCCTGGCGAAGCCACAGAATCACGAAAAATCATCATCATTGCTGTTCGAAGCTGCTAAGTTTTGGGTTATGCAGCAAGTGACAGCTGATACACCCCCTAAAATATATTCTTTGCATAACAGTGAGTACTCCTGTTAAAATGCATGTCCGATCTTGTCACTCCTCTGCTCAAACCCTCCATTTGATGTTCCTTCTCACTCAGAGCAAGAAGGTCTTGCCCCCTTCCTGTTTCATGTTGCTCTCCACCCATCCCTTGCTTACTGCTGACCATCCTGGAGTGTGCCTGGCATGCTTCATCCTCAGAGTCTCTGCCCTTGCTGTTCCCTACGCCAAGAACATTTTCTCCAGTTATCTGTGAAGTTCACTCCCTTATCACTTTCCTACCTTTGGGCACCTTCACTGACCACCCTATTTAAAATTGCAGCCCACCCTTCAGAGCCCTCCTTTATCCCCTTCCCTGCTTAACTTTTCCCCATAGCCCTCACATGACATCCTACATGTGTCGCTTTCTTTAACTTCCCTCACCAGCAAGGCAAGGCCCCCAAGGGCAGGATTCATGTCTGTTGTGTCTGTATCCCTACCACCTAGAAAAGTTTCTGGCACACAGTAAGCCATCACTGAACATTGTTAAATAAATGAACAAATAAGTGAATGAATGAACAGATCACTGGGGAAGATGATGCCCTGGTGGTGGGGGACAAGGTTCTGGAAGTGGGAGCTCGGAAGGAGTGTGCTGGGCCTCCTTCTTGGCCCTTAAACAAGTGTACCTGTGGGAAGAGTGTGACCAGTAGAAAACCCTGTTTCTCATGGTTTTCTCTCAAAAAGGGAATCTGGAAATTCCCAGACCACATTTACTACAAATAGTTGCTCACTGCCAGCAGACAGACATATACATAAGGAAGAGATGCACATCCTCAGCCTATGTGATTCTGTTCCTTGAAGAGATGCATGTGCTGATAACTCAGGCTGAGGGTTTACCACTCAATGGCGCTGTCTCGGCTGGTGTCATCTTTGCAGTCTGAATCCAAGAAGATGTCCTTGTAGATCCTCCCACACAGGCAGAACATGTCGGGGCCTGGGTGATCACAGCTCTGCAGAACCTGGAGCATGATCTGCAGAGCCTTCTCACGGTCACCTGTGCTGTTTCTCCTGAAAGACAGATGTTATAAGGTCACAAATGAATGAATCAAGACAATGGAATAGAGGCCAGGTGCAGTGGCTCACACCTGTAATCCCAGAACTTTGGGAGACCAAAGTGGGTGGATCATTTGAGGTCAGGAGTTCGACACCAGCCTGGCCAACATGGTGAAAACCTGTCTCTACTAAAAATACAAAAAGTACCCAGGTGGTAGTGGCCCATGCCTGTAATCCCAGCTACTTGGGAGGCTGAGACAGGAGTATCACTTGAACCCAGAAGGCAGAGGTTGCAGTGAACCAAGATCGCGCCACTGTACTCCAGTCTGGGTGACACAGTGAGACCTATTTAAAAAAAAAAAAAAGACAGTGGAATATATATGCATTCATCGTGCTGAAAGACAGGTGCAAGGATGCTGTACTTCAGCAGAAAAATTATTTTTTTTCATTTTCCAATGTAGTCACTGCTTAAGATCCACACCGATAAACCTTATACAATTATACTCAGTCTCTACTTGATTCTATCTCAACAACTAAATCATAAGGAAATGAAAAAATAGGCAAAGGGGAAACCTATATAATAAAAAAGACTTAAGAGTCATATCAACTAAATGCAACATGCAGACTTTGTTTGGATCGTGATTCAAACAAATCCACTAAAAAACATATGAGGCTGGGTACAGTGGCTCACACCTGTAATCCCAGCACTTTGGGAGGCTGAGGCGGATGGATCACTTAAGGTCAGGAGTTCGAGACCAGCCTGGCCAACATGGTGAAACCCTGTCTCTACAAAAATACAAAAATTAGCCAGTTGTGGTGGCAGGCGCCTGTAGTCCCAGGTACTTGGGAGGCTGAGGCAGGAGAATCACTTGAACCTGGGAGGCAGAGGTTGTGCCAGTAAACTCCAGCCTAGGCACCAGAGTGAGACTCTGTC